ACAAGGGGACCCACCATCATAGATTCATATTCAGATCAGATCAGTGGCCTCTTTCTTCAATTTCTTCAATTTCTTCAATTTCTTACAATTTGGTCAAACAAGATTTGCATTACTTTTCCAATTGCTATGACTTTCTTCGGCAACTTGTCAACAGCTATCTATATCTAAATTTATTTTTACGTCTTCCTCCTTCCATAAATTTTAAGCAAACAAACTAAGTCTCATATTTATTTCTAATGAATTAAATACGAACATAATGAGGGCTTTATGTTAAGTCTCAATCTTATTGTTTCGTGAGTACTTATTTTCCATTGCTAATTGATTCTGATATGAAATCTCAACTTCTGTCGTAGTATCAAAGTAAGGTTATTCACATAAACCACGCGAGGACAAGATCTCGTGTTGCCCTTTATGGATTGTAATGATGAAGATCTCATGTTGTCCTCAATGATTTAAAATGGCCGCCGTCTTGTTTTCACACAATGTCCGAACTAATAAAATTATTCGGAGCTGCTGATTAGGAATGTCGCTTGAAAACATCACTCTCACTAGTGAATGGTGGGGTTATAAGAAAGAGGTCCAAGTGAAATGAACATGTTGGGTTCTTGTCCAGTCGTTCTCAGTTGGGTACTTGCTGGGAAGCTTCTGTATCGTTCATACGAGCTGTCAATCTTGACCATTATTAATTCGCACCTCTCTCTCCCGCTTTCTGGTCCATTTTTCCCTCCATCATTATTACATATTAAAGAATATATCTTGGGCAGTTACTTGTTGTGGGCAGTGGTTGGACTGGAATCCAGTTCCAGCTTCAGGTCCTGGACTTTTACAGTTGCTGTTGGGCTATGGTCAACCCCCTTGACACATTCAGTGAATTGGATGAAATTATGGTCAAGCACACGAGGAAATCATTGAAGTGCACACCGGTTCAAAAACTGGAAGAGGTGGTGGCAGAGGAAGTCTTCCCTAGCAAATGGGGCGGGAAGTGGCCCAATACCTCTAAAGCCCAAGAACAGTTGTATAAGGGCCAAGCCAACCTGGTCAATCCTCGAATTAGTGGGCCAAGTCAATCAGGCCTAATCACAAGATATTATAAACCATTACGTGATTGGTGGTGGGTGGACACAATTTTGGGTCAATCGGATTAGACCGAATTGTCTAACTTGATTATAAGAGAGTTGGGTTAGGTTGGGTTGAGTTGGCCTAATAATGAGCGGATCTTGGGTTCAAAAAATTATAAACTGTTATGTGGGCTTAATTTTGAGTTAATCCGACCGAACCGCCCAACCCGATCAGAAAAGAGTTGAATTTGCCTAATAATGAGCAAGTTTTGAGTCCAATAAATCATAAATCGCTATATATCCAGTTGGGATAAAAACCGACCCATTAAACCCCTTACTTACCGCTACGTCCCAAGTCCAATAAGCTTACATCCTATAGCCGTGAACGACGAGAAATCAGTCACCCAAAGACTATTTAAAAGCCAACCTCCATCAACTGGAGAAGGTAACTGTTCCTAGAACCAAGAACCTTATTTCTTTTCTAGTTGCATATTCTAAATCAAACTTAAACATCAGAGGACCTTTAACTCGCACCACATCGGTGTGTTAAAAGACTCAGTAATGTTGTATTCTTTCCTGAAGTCATTGATAACATTCATATATATTGCAATTGAATCGATGAACAAGGTTGGGTGGAAATGGCTGGGTTATTTGGTTTGGGCTTTTCATCACCAAATTGGGTTGCAACATCTTCGTGGTTTGGTGCAAAAGAGGCCGAAACAAACAGAAGAAATTAACCCTACAAGCAAAGCAAGCAACAGCTGGCCAGGTTTCGTGGTAGCGGTGATCTTCACTTCTCACACATTCACAGTAACTAGTGTTGGCGTGGTGTGCGGTGGTTGGGCTCTTTTTGTCTCGCCTTGCCTTGCCATCCCAGCCACGCTAAGCCATGACGTAAACAAGGGAACATACAGAAGGTGCATGTGACCTATCATCTCATTTGAAAATGTGGTAGATAGATGGACTTCAATTACCAAATTGCCCCTAGCTATGTTGTTATGGTATGGGTCTAGAAACCCTAAGGTGTCACGTGCCATGTATGTATGCTTTAATTAACCCAGTTCATCCATTCTATATGCACATTGTCATCTGTTATATATATATATATATACTGCATTAGAAGGATCCATCCATATATTCTCATCTTTATCTTCTTCCCCCAAAAGCCGTAGTAGTTAAAGCATAAAGCTTCTTTTGGTGATCATATACAAAATTTCAGTCTACATTAACTAGGGATCGTGAGAAAGAGAGAGAGAGATGGAGTGGCGGCTGTGGCGGCAGTCATGGAGGCTGTGGCTACGTTTATTTGTTATGGCGGCGGCGGCGGTAGTTATAACACAAGAAGGTTGTGCTTGTGGAGGAGATGTCACGTACGATGGAAGATCTCTCATCATTAATGGGGAAAGAAGAATTCTATTTTCAGGTTCTATTCACTATCCTCGGAGTACACCCGAGGTAATTATATCACTACACATTTACTTGTTCATAATGCAATATTCAAAAGTCACCGCATAATTACAGTTCATGAATATTTCTAGCACATTCAAAAAACACAAAATATTAAGCAAGGTGTTTGTATTTCAAGTGGTGAAGAGCCCATGCACCTGAGGTCTTAGATGTTTGCATAAATAATTACTAAATATTAATTAATTTTGTTTTCCATTGCAATTAACATTCATTTGCATATATTTGATGGTTTATCATGTTCCTTTATTAGATATTTAGTTATATACTCATTTTTAGTACTAGTGATATAGATAAATCCTACACCATTTAATTTCTATAAACAAACCCAAAAAACGACAACTGGCCATTTTGAATTTAATTTTGATTATTAAATTACTTTGATGCCATGTTGAGTGTTTTGAGTTTTTTTTTATGAGGTTTTGGGGTTGAGCTTATTTTAGGAAATCGATGGCAATTTTGTATTTTATAGGAAGTTTGAAGCCTCTTTGTTATGTTGTAAATGATCTTTGAGTGTATTTGTAATGTAAAGTCCATTTCATATAGGTTTTTTATTTTTATAAAATAATTTAAATCCCTATATTGGGCATAATAATGAATTCCTCTTCTTTATCTTTATGATTATATATGTCACGGCTAGAAGCTTGGTTCACATTTTCTTCGTACCTTTTGGACATATCACATTTTCTTCCTATCTTTTGGACATATCTTTATGTGTCCATTTTGTTTGATGCTGGATTCGGGAACTGTAATGAATGTGAACCCTGCATCATATATACAGATAAATAAGTACGAAGTTGGCTACATTGATTGGGGGGTGGAGTGGATTCAAACAAATTAATTGTCGTGGGCTGGATATAAAAACAAAAAGATAGACCAAGTAAAACCCAAGAAAAATTGTATAATATATATATATATATATATCCGGATGTCCGCACGTTATTATCGTGCGGATCCTATTGTAAATAGGCAGAAAAACCGAGAGGGGTAGTACAAAATACACAGCGTCCGCACGATAATAACATCCGGATCCCTCCATCATTATTACATATTAAAGAATATATCTTGGGCAGTTACTTGTTGTGGGCAGTGGTTGGACTGGAATCCAGTTCCAGCTTCAGGTCCTGGACTTTTACAGTTGCTGTTGGGCTATGGTCAACCCCCTTGACACATTCAGTGAATTGGATGAAATTATGGTCAAGCACACGAGGAAATCATTGAAGTGCACACCGGTTCAAAAACTGGAAGAGGTGGTGGCAGAGGAAGTCTTCCCTAGCAAATGGGGCGGGAAGTGGCCCAATACCTCTAAAGCCCAAGAACAGTTGTATAAGGGCCAAGCCAACCTGGTCAATCCTCGAATTAGTGGGCCAAGTCAATCAGGCCTAATCACAAGATATTATAAACCATTACGTGATTGGTGGTGGGTGGACACAATTTTGGGTCAATCGGATTAGACCGAATTGTCTAACTTGATTATAAGAGAGTTGGGTTAGGTTGGGTTGAGTTGGCCTAATAATGAGCGGATCTTGGGTTCAAAAAATTATAAACTGTTATGTGGGCTTAATTTTGAGTTAATCCGACCGAACCGCCCAACCCGATCAGAAAAGAGTTGAATTTGCCTAATAATGAGCAAGTTTTGAGTCCAATAAATCATAAATCGCTATATATCCAGTTGGGATAAAAACCGACCCATTAAACCCCTTACTTACCGCTACGTCCCAAGTCCAATAAGCTTACATCCTATAGCCGTGAACGACGAGAAATCAGTCACCCAAAGACTATTTAAAAGCCAACCTCCATCAACTGGAGAAGGTAACTGTTCCTAGAACCAAGAACCTTATTTCTTTTCTAGTTGCATATTCTAAATCAAACTTAAACATCAGAGGACCTTTAACTCGCACCACATCGGTGTGTTAAAAGACTCAGTAATGTTGTATTCTTTCCTGAAGTCATTGATAACATTCATATATATTGCAATTGAATCGATGAACAAGGTTGGGTGGAAATGGCTGGGTTATTTGGTTTGGGCTTTTCATCACCAAATTGGGTTGCAACATCTTCGTGGTTTGGTGCAAAAGAGGCCGAAACAAACAGAAGAAATTAACCCTACAAGCAAAGCAAGCAACAGCTGGCCAGGTTTCGTGGTAGCGGTGATCTTCACTTCTCACACATTCACAGTAACTAGTGTTGGCGTGGTGTGCGGTGGTTGGGCTCTTTTTGTCTCGCCTTGCCTTGCCATCCCAGCCACGCTAAGCCATGACGTAAACAAGGGAACATACAGAAGGTGCATGTGACCTATCATCTCATTTGAAAATGTGGTAGATAGATGGACTTCAATTACCAAATTGCCCCTAGCTATGTTGTTATGGTATGGGTCTAGAAACCCTAAGGTGTCACGTGCCATGTATGTATGCTTTAATTAACCCAGTTCATCCATTCTATATGCACATTGTCATCTGTTATATATATATATATATACTGCATTAGAAGGATCCATCCATATATTCTCATCTTTATCTTCTTCCCCCAAAAGCCGTAGTAGTTAAAGCATAAAGCTTCTTTTGGTGATCATATACAAAATTTCAGTCTACATTAACTAGGGATCGTGAGAAAGAGAGAGAGAGATGGAGTGGCGGCTGTGGCGGCAGTCATGGAGGCTGTGGCTACGTTTATTTGTTATGGCGGCGGCGGCGGTAGTTATAACACAAGAAGGTTGTGCTTGTGGAGGAGATGTCACGTACGATGGAAGATCTCTCATCATTAATGGGGAAAGAAGAATTCTATTTTCAGGTTCTATTCACTATCCTCGGAGTACACCCGAGGTAATTATATCACTACACATTTACTTGTTCATAATGCAATATTCAAAAGTCACCGCATAATTACAGTTCATGAATATTTCTAGCACATTCAAAAAACACAAAATATTAAGCAAGGTGTTTGTATTTCAAGTGGTGAAGAGCCCATGCACCTGAGGTCTTAGATGTTTGCATAAATAATTACTAAATATTAATTAATTTTGTTTTCCATTGCAATTAACATTCATTTGCATATATTTGATGGTTTATCATGTTCCTTTATTAGATATTTAGTTATATACTCATTTTTAGTACTAGTGATATAGATAAATCCTACACCATTTAATTTCTATAAACAAACCCAAAAAACGACAACTGGCCATTTTGAATTTAATTTTGATTATTAAATTACTTTGATGCCATGTTGAGTGTTTTGAGTTTTTTTTTATGAGGTTTTGGGGTTGAGCTTATTTTAGGAAATCGATGGCAATTTTGTATTTTATAGGAAGTTTGAAGCCTCTTTGTTATGTTGTAAATGATCTTTGAGTGTATTTGTAATGTAAAGTCCATTTCATATAGGTTTTTTATTTTTATAAAATAATTTAAATCCCTATATTGGGCATAATAATGAATTCCTCTTCTTTATCTTTATGATTATATATGTCACGGCTAGAAGCTTGGTTCACATTTTCTTCGTACCTTTTGGACATATCACATTTTCTTCCTATCTTTTGGACATATCTTTATGTGTCCATTTTGTTTGATGCTGGATTCGGGAACTGTAATGAATGTGAACCCTGCATCATATATACAGATAAATAAGTACGAAGTTGGCTACATTGATTGGGGGGTGGAGTGGATTCAAACAAATTAATTGTCGTGGGCTGGATATAAAAACAAAAAGATAGACCAAGTAAAACCCAAGAAAAATTGTATAATATATATATATATATATATCCGGATGTCCGCACGTTATTATCGTGCGGATCCTATTGTAAATAGGCAGAAAAACCGAGAGGGGTAGTACAAAATACACAGCGTCCGCACGATAATAACATCCGGATGTCCGCATAAGAGAATTTCTGTATATATATATATATATTTCACAAGATAGAAATAAAACTTTTTGGTTATATTGGGAGGTTTCGAACCTGAGTATCAAGCAGGGGGAAGGGGGGAGGCCACCACTGTGGTACCTGCTCTCGACAACACATAGAAATAAAACTTTCATGTAACATGTTTCATACACCGTCGTGTTCGCATACATTATACATATATGTATATGTATATATTGTTTGTGAAATTAAAGAGTTGGTGTAGATGTGGGGATCTTTGATTGGGAAAGCCAAGGAAGGAGGAGTTGATGTGATTCAAACCTATGTATTTTGGAATCTTCATGAGCCCCAACCGGGTCAGGTTGGTAATTTAACATTCCATCCTTCTCTCTCTCTCATTGGCTGATATATTGAATATTGTTTGTATATATGTGTTATATATGTACAGTACAATTTCAGTGGAAGATATGATTTAGTAAAATTCATAAAGGAAATCCAGGCACAAGGACTTTACGCTTGCCTTAGGATCGGACCATTCATTGAGAGTGAATGGACATATGGGTATGTTTAATTTTTCTCATTTCATATATTCTTCAGGGCCGGCCCTCACTTTTGCCCAAGGGGATAAATTAAAATGAAGCCCATTTCCCTTTATATATAATCATAATTTAGCAAGAAAGATTATTATTTTTTAAAATTTTTTATGCACATGTATGTATTTTCTTTTTAGCTTAATTATGGTAATTTTATTAGACTAAAATAATAAAAGAACATGAATCATAAAACATAAAAGTCATCAAACTAGAAGAACTAAACATTTTCTTGAAGGAAGTGTTGAATTAATTGGATGTTTGTTGTTTCAAAATAAAATTAGTAATTTTTTAAAATGTTTAATTTGTAAATGTGGGCCCTTGTATTTTTAAACTCTCAAAACACCCTTTAGGGTTCCCTACAAGATTTTTTTTCAAGAAAGTACTAAAATTTCAATAATTTAATTGAGTGGTCAAATGATATTGGATTCAAGTGATTTTTTTTGTAGAGTTGATCTTTGAATGAATCTCTAAACACTAGATTGTTCGGATCATTGAAAAACAATGCATAATAATGGACCCTACAAGGATGTCCTCTTTATATATAATATGGATATTAAAAAAATTGGGGCCCTCTTGATCTGAGGCCCTAGGCCATCGCCCTCCGGGCCCAAGTCTAGAGCAGCCCTAATATTCTCCTATATATCTTTTTATTTTTGTTTTTGTTTATAGTATAAGGGGGGGATTAATTTCGAGATTGGTAATTGACTCTTTAATTTATATTTTCAGGGGATTTCCATTTTGGCTGCATGATGTCCCTGACATAGTTTATCGCTCAGATAATGAACCATTCAAGGTTTGTCCCCTTCATTCCTAATTAGTAAACATGTTATTATTATTTTTAATGATATTTTTCTTTTCAATATCGAAAATGTCTCAAATTTGAATTCTCTTTTTCTATTTATAAAAAATAAATAATAATTAACTCGTTATTTTCTCTGCTTATGATGTCTTGTCTATTTTGTTCTTTCTTCTTTTGTAGTTTTATATGCAAAATTTTACTACAAAAGTAGTGAACATGATGAAGTCAGAGGGTTTATATGCATCACAAGGAGGCCCAATCATATTATCGCAGGTACATATATAATGATTAATTAAAAGTACTTTTCAATTTAATCTATAATTAATGGAATTTAATCTATAACATATTTAGATTGAGAACGAATATCAAAACATAGAAGCAGCATTCCATGAAAAAGGACCCTCCTACGTTCGTTGGGCAGCAAAAATGGCCGTTGAGCTCCAAACTGGCGTACCATGGGTCATGTGCAAGCAAACCGATGCTCCTGATCCAGTGGTTGGTCTTTTTAATTTTCTCACCACATCTATATCCTCAGCTCTAAATTAAATTAATTAAAAAATTTATTATTTATATCTCATTCCGATTACAAATTAATAAACATGACATGCATGCAGATCAATACATGCAACGGTATGCGGTGTGGGCAAACTTTTGGAGGACCAAACTCACCCAATAAGCCCTCTCTTTGGACAGAGAATTGGACCTCATTGTATGTTTTCTTTTTTATATATGCATCCACATATATCTAGATCTATATTAATTGTATTTAGTTAATATATGTTAATCAGATACACATGTAACTAATGCGTTTAGATACACATCTAGATCTATATTAATTGTATTTAGTTAATATATGTTAATCAGATACACATGTAATTAATGCGTCCCCTCAAGGTCTAACTCAATTAGTATTTAGTGGTATTGAGCTAAGGTAGATAATTAGTTGGTAAACTCTCACTTACAAATCATGTAGTATATCCGAATACAAGTATCAATAGTGTAAATAGAAGGGGGAGGGAGATTTCTCACAAACACACACATATACACACACATACTACCAAGGTGTCATGTGGGCTCGAACTTGAGACTACTGGTCTGTAAGTCGATGCTATTTTCCATTAAACTAGACCTCATTTGCAAAAATCATATAGTATATATGTAAAAAAAAGAGAAATTCACAAGCAAATTTAACAATTTAGGATACAGGGATTCCACATACTTCTTTAAAAAATAAAAATAAAAACTCCCAATTTTTACTCCCGAAGTCACTTTAAAGGTAGGGTTTTTTTTTTCTTCGAAAAAATAATACCACGGACACCAACTCATGATTTACCTCAATAGATGTGTAAGCCAGAGCTTACATCCGAGCATTCCTGTTTCAGTCATTAAATCCATCACATACTTTCTTTGAGATAGAAAAATACTGGTGTTTGATCTTGCCACTTCAATTCCAAGAAAGTATTTCAGAGGACCTAGATCCTTTATCTCAAACTCTTGAGATAAATATTGTTGTAGCTTTTGTCTCTCTTTTGTGTCATTTTCAGTCACAACCATGTCATCCATATAAATGATTAAGGTGGTGACTTTGTCTCCATCATGCTTTAAGAATATAGTGTGGTCTGAATTGCTCTGAGTGAATCAAAAATTCTTCATGGACATAGTAAACCATCCAAACCACGCTCTGGGAGACTATTTCAACCTATATAATGACTTTATGAGTTTGCAAACTTTATCTTTCTTTTCGGGAGCTAGATTACATTATGGCGGTAGATCCATGTATACGTCATCTTCCAATTCTCCATGTAAGAAGGCATTTTTAACATCGAACTAATGTAATGACCAATCTAGATTTGATGCTAGAGATAGTAAGAATATGATGGTACTAAAGCTTACATCGAGCCTGAGCCCGAGTGGCAATTTTAGCAGGTCCCCAAATATTTAAGCAAATATGGGAAAAAGGAACCAAACTTTTATTTGAACTTAATGAAAATGAAACACGATGGCTCTTGGCTAGTTCACAAATGTTACACTTAAAAACTTGAAATATTAAAACTTTAGAATAATGATAGAAATAACTTTTGTAAATAGCCAAAAGAAGCATGTCCAACAGGTCTAGCCACACTTCATCTTTCTTTTTCTCACCATTGTCTCCACCCATCTAGAAAGTTTGACTGTCTGGTGCCAAGTCCAAGTACTAGAGTTTACCCCTCCTAGTACCACAACCAATCGTCTTGTTGGTGATGATGTCCTGAAAAAACAATGAGTTGACCAAAAAGTTACAGTACATTCCAAAGTCACAGTAATTTGTGAAACAGACAACAAATTAGGGTTCAAAGACGAAACAATCAACAAATAATCCAAATTTAGGAAGTTAAAGAGAGATAGAGAACCCTCCCCAATCATAGGGGAGGGGTACCATTAGCATTAGACACCACCGGCTAGGAAGACAGTGTGTGAGTAATAATTTATCCAAGATCAAATGTCATATGATCAGTCGCTCCCCAATCAATGATCCATGTGTTTTTGCGGGATGAGGTATTTAAAGCATAACCTTTGGTACCTGTTGTGGATATAGAGGCCAATGCAGGGGCTGGTGTAGTCGAAACAGTAGGACTTACAGGGACATAATCTGAAGACACTTGTAGTGCTTTTCCTCTATTCTTCTGTGGAGCTTTGGAATGGTCCCACCAATTTGGATACCCAATCAACTCATAGCATCCAGCACGGGTATGTTTGCTACCTCCACAGTGTGTGCACTTTTTTTTTGGATGAGTTCCGGATGCCTTATTTTGAGCAAAGATACCAGGAGAATTATGTGCTCCCTTTTGACGGTGAGTAGCCATGATTGATGCATCTTGAGGATCATTGGCACCGTTCATGGACATTCTTTGTTGAGCATCTCTACGGACGTAGGCAAATGTATTTTCAAGGTCCAGTTTTGGATCTTTGCGCAATATTTCCCCACGAACCTGATAAAACTCTGGGTCTAGTCCTGCAAGAAAAATATGAACGCAAAGACGATCTATCTCTAATTGGCGGGTAGTCAAATCGGCTGCACATTGCATACTGATTGGACTCCGATGATCTATCTCCTGAAAAATAATTTGTAATTGGTTGTAGTATGTATGAACGGGTGTACCATTTTGCTTCATAGTAAATGCCCGTTTGTTCAGATCATAAAGGTAAGATTCATCACCCCCATCATAGAAGGTCTTTTTGACTGCATCCTTGATTTCTCTTGCAACAATTCGCATCTCCATAACTTGAGACCACAATGCATAGTTGGTCTCATTGAGGATGATTCTGGGAGGGAGCAAGGAGTTGTCACTCTGAATTGTGACAATTTGAGGGTTGGAATTGGAGGAGCCTTTTGTTAGCAAGAGAGGTTCCTCTGACATTGCTGCGGAACTATATGAAATTTGATATAGGTTTGTGTTTAGGGAATTGATAAGAGGATTTGATTTGAGGGTTTAGGAATTTAATTTAGGGTTTGTGTTTGAATTTGAGGATATGATTTGAGGGCTTAGAGACGACCTAAGATCGGCCGATCTAATACCATGCTAAGAATAAGAATATGGTTTGTATATTTGGATGGTTGTATTCTTCTTTGTAAGGAGGAATATATAGGGCTTTACAAGAAAATAGATACATTGAATAAATAGGAAATATCTCCTAATTATATATGGATATGTCAACTATGCTAAAAAGGAAATAAATCACCTAATTAACTTAGGAAGTAAATCTCATTGATAGGTTAACTCACGTCAACAATTTGATTTTATACATTAATTTTCTTAGACATAAGTTTTGTATTTACGTATATATCATAATCAAATGAGACACCTAACTAATTTTATTTTATTTAGTTATTAATTCGTTCTTTCATTTATGAATGTTTCTTTTAAAAAAATAATTAGAGTATAACGATCATGTTCTGTTTTCAGCTATCAAGTGTACGGTGGAGAACCATATATAAGATCTGCCGAAGACATTGCATTTCATGTTGCACTTTTTATAGCTAGAAATGGAAGCTACGTAAACTATTACATGGTATGATTTTCAAACAAATATATAATAACTCTAGCTTTAGCAATTACCTTTTTAGTTTTGGGAGAAAAACAGTAAATTCTTTGCAAAAAATTAGACAAATCTGAAACATTTTTAAAGATTTAATTGTGTCATACATAATCAACCAACACGGTGCTTCAAAAAAGTACTAAAATTTTAATAATTTAATTGAGTGGTCAAATGATATCAAAATCAAACGATTTTTTTTTTTGTAGAGATGATATTTGAATGAATATCTACAAAATAGACGATTTGGATTTGTGAAATAAAATGCATAGTAGGCCCTACAAGGGTGTCCCTCATGTAAGCTTATTTGAGGGATCCCTCAATAAAAGCTCTCTGTATATATACGCAAAAAGTCACTTTTAGTCCCTGTAGTTTGTCATTTTTACTACTAAGGTCCATGTTGTTTCAATTTGAACATTTTTGCTCATGTGGTTTCAATTTGAAGAAATTTAAGGACAATCTTCAATTTCTGTCAAATTCTTTTAACTTCTGTTACTTGTGGAGTGGTAATTTAGTCAACAAGTTATTAAAAAATTAATTATTTTAAAAATAAACAATACAAAATGGAAAAATTAATAAATAAAAAATATATCTTCTTCTCCCCTCCCTAGAAGCCTTCGTCACTCTCTGCCGTATCTCTCCCTCTTCATTTCTCCACCACCTGATAGCACCCTATCCCCAGCCCCACCCCTACCCCTAGCCATGACCTACCCCCAACCCCATCCCTATTGACAACCCAACACTAGAGCACCGACCACCCAACACCAGCGCACCGACCCCCTTCATCCCTCTATCTCTCTCCGATTTGGCCTTCCACCTCACCCCACCACAGCCCGCTAATCATCCCTCCACCACCACCATTACCTAAAACCAGGGCCGGCCCTGACTTTTCGGTGGCCCTAGGCAATAAACTAAATGAGGCCCCTTCCTGTAGCCTTCTTCCTCCCAAACAGGCAGCCAATAATAGATCCATCCCATTACAATGTGCAAATATCTGAAGCTTTCCCTTTATCAAATAGCTGCTTGATTTCCTCTGCACCATTTACAATCAAAAAAGTAAAAACTGTAACATTAAAAGTACAATCAAACACTGAAAAATCCTTGATCTTCTAGCACTTTGAGAAACTCCACTCCGTACCTCCACCTGATTCATGTACATCTGCAATGATAAGATATATGCAAGCTTTTGTTAAGAAAAGTTTAGTAGATGTCATTGTGCAGTTTTATAGCGACTTATATAAGGAGACTTGGGAGATTATCTCCACCAGGCAGAGGATGTTTTGCCTTAGAAACAAATCCAAATTAAGTGAGCTAGCTGTATGCTGTAAGTTAGCGGCTTGATATCTAGAAAAGTCAAATTAGAGTGCCAGTATGAATCTATAATTATCCTTTGCGGAGTTTCGTAGAGACAAAAAACAAGTTAGACAAGAATAAAATCTGAACAATAATCTGATTACCACTCTGTATCTCTCTGTGTTTTGTTCCTATTGGAAATTGAATTGAAACAATAGTTTGCTGGGTAGGAACAAATATAAAGAAAAAATTATAAATCTGATTACCTTTTCAGTTTCTCATGCTCCTTCCCTCTTGGTCACCATCAATCTCAAAGACAATTTGTGAGCTTTTTGGGTGAGATTGAAACTTAGGGTTATAATATGAATCTGATATGAGAAAGATGATAGAAACTGAAAATAAAGGATATGGATAATGGATTGAAGGGAGATGGGAATAACAGAGAAAAATATAATGGTGGATTATTAAGAGATCGATGGATTAAATAGAGCTCCATGGAGAAATAATTAGGAAAGGGGCTGTTGCTCTTGGCTGGCTGTGTGGCGTAGGAAACAAAGAGTTTCTGAATGGGAAGAGGAAGAGCCTTCCTCGTTCAATTACAACACTGACTTTCTGTTTCTTTTTTTAATTTTTTAATTTTTAGTTGGACAATAAAATATATATAATATAAAAAAATTTGGGGCTCCCTTAATTGGAGGCCCATGGCCAAGGCCCTTCTTGCCTACCCCCAGGGCCAGCCCTGCCTAAAACTAGATATTCTCTAATATACAGCTTTGTTCATTAATCGATTTTTAATAACTTGGAGATAGCTATTGGTTTTTACCCTTCCCAACTTCAAGTTATGTTTCTCAAAAACACCATCAAATAAGCCATTATAAGTGAAAATAAAATTAAAATAGGAGTAGTTCTTGGTGGGTGGGCTGGGTTGGAGCGATTATTATTATTATTTTTTCAGATCTCTTGCACTCAATTTTTTGGGCTGGACCTGAGATATAGAGATAGGTGGGGTGTCTTGAGAAGTTTTGTGGTGGGAGGGTGGTAAGGGTTGGTTGTTGTTGGGTGGGTGATATTGGGCAGTGGCTTGTTCGATGGTGGTTATGGTGGGAGGGGAGGGCACGGAAGAGAGAGGGGTAGGGCACCAGAGTTAAAAAGGAATGAATTTTTGTTATTTATGATTAATTTTTTATTATTTTGTATTTGTTATTTTAAAAAGGAATGAATTTTTTAATAATTTGACTGAATTGCCCATCACAAGTAACGGAATGTAAAATTTTTTTTGGTCCTTGACAGAAATTGAGAGTTGTCCTTGAATTGCTTGAAATTGAACCACAAGAATATATTAGCTTTTATACTTTTGGTCCCTGTGGTTTATCATTTTCGGTCCCTGTAGTATATATATATATTTTTTTTTTAACAATCAAGTGGTGTATTGTAATTTGTAATTGATCTCTCTAGTACCACGGTGGAACTAATTTTGGAAGAACAAGCTCTGCATATGTCATAACAAGTTATTATGATCAAGCTCCTCTCGACGAATACGGTCAGTTCATTATTTTAAATTTGCATATATGAATTATAATTGGTTTATTAATCCTTGATTTTATTAATCAACCAACTAATTAAACACTTATAACTGCTTTTTGGAAATTATTTAGGTTTGCTACGGCAACCCAAGTGGGGTCATCTTAAGGCATTGCATGCTGCTATCAAAAGTTGCTCTACAACTTTACTACAGGGATTGCCAACAAATTTTTCACTAGGTCAACTTCAAGAGGTGATCATATAGCCTTCAATGTTTAATATAGTTAACCTCAATCATTAGTTAAACACCAATTATTACTACGAGAAAATATAATTAATAGTCACTGATATTATGATGAGGTGACTAAAAGTATGTTGTTGGTGTCTAATAGCTACAGTCACGATGATTCGTGCCCATTATGCTATTAGACAATAATAGTGTCTTGGTAGACAAAGAGTTGAAATCAACGGAAGTGACGTAGACCAAATATCGATTACCCAACTAGGTTTCTCACCGAATACTAACAACGAACACAAAGGATGCAACCGAAGCCATCTCATTATATGCCATGAATCTTAGTGATTATAATGTTTCTTGTAGTGTATTCTCAGTCCAAAATGAAATATACGTACATAATGATTACATTATTTGTGATTTGTAATTAGGCCTATGTCTTTCGCGAAGAAACTGAAGGAAGATGTGTTGCATTTCTTATAAATAATGATGAAAGAAATAATGCTTCTGTTCAGTTCCAAAATGCATCACATGAGCTGATGCCAAAGTCAATTAGCATTCTACCAGACTGTGAAAAAGTAATTTTCAACACGGCAACGGTAAGTTATCTGAATTTCACACTGCTTTTCTTTTCTTTATTTTTATTTTCCCATCTACTCATTCATGCACTCAGTAATAAGGAAAAAAAAGATTAGATATGAATTTGGGGCATTTTTGTCAAAACAAAATATACTTTTTCGTTTTCACTTCAAGGAAAGGATACCTTTTTTTTTTTACCAGATACGGAAAGGCTACTTGGATGTCTGGTTTTGGCCATGGTGAGGTGCCATATATGGACCTTCATATTAGCCACATGATTCATCTAAATAGTAACTTCACTTAAGTTTAATGAAATATTCTTGTGACTAATAGGTAGGTCCACATAAAAGGTCCGTATATGGCACACTTGCTATAGCATTTCGCTTGGCAACAAACAAATTTTTTTATTGGGCCACAACTGTAATTTTGGGTTAGGCATACATATAACTTTTCTCCCAAGTCTTTGTTTGATCCCAACTTATCCCCTCTTCCAGGGTTTAGGGCATTTATCCATTCACTTGAGTTCTTGAATTCAAATCCCCCCTCGCCTAATATCGCTTGTATAAAAAGAAAGAGAAAAAGTGTATTAGTTTTGTATTGTCAATTTTTCTTCAGTAGCTTTCTTTTTTACTGATGGTAGATTAAGTGTTGTTTTGTATTTCTTGTTATACGTAGGTAAATACAAATAACACGAAAAGAATCATACGAACAACCGAAATCTTTGATTCAATGGATAGATGGCAAGCATACGAGAATTTCTATTTGTGTAATGTAAAATTGAGGCTTATGAAATTCCTGGAGATGGCTTGAAAAAGAAATAATTAAATAGAAAAGAAATTTGAAAGCACCTCAATTAAACTATTTAAAATGATTATTTATATAATTTAGTTTTTTAATTACATCAGGAAATGCCCATGGTAATCACGATACCAAGCAGTTCATCATGCAGAGTCCAGTTGTGTTGAGCAATGAAATTAACAATATTTCTTTGCTAGGCGTTATGGTTGGACTACCGGTATAGCTCAAATTATAGTTCTTCATTATCAATTCATTAATTTTCTATACATAAATGTTGACTCAAAAAGATATATTATTTGTTGTAAAGGATTCAGGAGCTTTTCTTGAAAGAAGATTTAGTGGCTTAACCAGAGTTGAAATTCAATGTAGCAAGAATGAGTTTTACAACTTTACTAATTATGCTTGGGGATTTCAGGTAAATCTTCACATACTACAAAGCTTGTACATCATTTTTAAGCTTAAATATGATTAAATGTTGCTTTATTTATTCATTTATTATAGAAAATAATCAATTTATTGTTGTATTTGATGAAATCTTTACAGGTTGGACTATTTGGAGAAAAATTGCAAATATATAGAGAAGAAAATATACACACGGTTGAATGGAGAAAAGCTAACACCTCTCTTAATCAACCACTTACTTGGTACAAGGTATGTGATAGAAATTTATAATTAAATATAGAAGATCAAAGCAATTATACAAATTCTTGGGATTACGTGTTTCCTTATCTCTAGCAGAGTTGCTATACTTTGATTCTTAGCCATTTTGGCAAGAATGAGGGCAAAACACAACTCTAGCAGACTTGCTATTTGACTCTTTATTTTGGAGAACTCCCTATTAGTTTGGTGGCTCTTTACATTTAGAGGAGGAGAGAGAAATTGAGGGTTCTCAATTTCTTCCTCTTCGCTCTCCCTAGGCCCACAACCCTCTCTCACCTCTTACTTTTTGAATTTTTAATGAACTTTTAATTTACAGAGAAGAAGAGAGAAATAATAAACTATTAGAGATTAGCCAAAATGGAGAATATTGCTGGAGAAAACACTTTTTAAATGAAACATCGATAGATGTATAAAAATTAGAATGTTTTTGTGCAACTCATATACATTACTATACATCTAAAACATAGATGCATTTGCAGACTTTTTTCGACGCACCTATTGGGAATGATCCTGTCGCCTTAAACCTTAGCTCGATGGGTAAGGGCGAAGCTTGGATTAATGGGCAAAGTATTGGTCGTTACTGGGTTTCATTTCTTACTTCAAAGAGAAAGCCTTCACAAATAATGTAAGTATCAATGACACTTTATATACATAGTGATCCTTCATTGAATATGAATGTTCACTTTATTTCGTCCATGTTGTGAGAATTCTTTGTCTACAAATCGTATGTTTCATCAATGAGCTCTCCATGTTGCAGAAATCTGGGTTTTCATGTGCACTATATTTTTATAGTTAGCACTTATTATTAATTTTTATCATTGATTTTTATGTTTCTTAGGTACCACGTTCCTCGATCCTTCTTTAAAACCTCGGAAAATCTTTTAGTCTTGCTTGAAGAAGCTGGTGGAAACCCTCTTCACATTTCCTTGAATACTATTTCACTTTCCACTTTGCCTAAACATATTCAATACTATCACCTTCTTCAATAGTAATTACACAGTGAATCACTCACTTATTCTATGAACACATATGCATTGTATTGTATAACCATTCAATTTATACATTATCATCATTTTTTTTCATAATGAAATTCCTTTTGATTTATAAATCAAGATAATGTCTCATCCTCTAATTAATAATCTTTCAAAGTGTTTTAAGTGGTGGACTACTTAGAATAACAAGCCTAGGAGATAGGAGGAAAAAGGGGTGGGGGTGTTCAATACCCTTTTAAACCCATAGTTTGACTAGTTTGAGTTCTAAACACTCTTCCCACATTCTCTTTTCTACTAGAGTGCAATCCCCATATTTAGCTCTACCTTCCCTTTATTGTGAAAAAGGGCCAGCAACAATATTTTATTATAGAGATTTTACTCAACTTGTACATTCCGCCCCTGCATATACAATAATACTTACGGTTTTTTTTTAATCACAAATGGTCTTTGAGGTTTTCTAAATTATCACTTTTGGTTCTTTGTGTTTTTTTTTCTGGTGATATTATTGGTCCTTTATGTTACACATGACACGTCAAAATTGTTGTGCCATGAGATTCCGTCAAAACTTCCTTTAGATTGATGACATGGCATGTATATGTAGCCCACATGTCTAATAATAACATGTCACGTGAATTTGAATAAAAATTTATGTTTTTAAAAATGAAGAGATTAAAATTCATTAAAAAAAAAACATAATTCTTAGGTTTAAATTTAGTTTTCTGTTTTTTTATTTATTTATGAATTTTAATTTCTTAAATATTTTTCAAAAACATAATTTTTTAAATTCAAATCCACATGGCATGTTATTATTGGACATGTGGACTCCACATACATGCCATGTCATCAATCTAACAGAAGTTTTGACGGAATCTCACGGCACAACAATTTTGACGTGTCATGTGCAAAAAAAAAAGTTTCAACTCCAAATCTCACCCGGAATGTCACTCACAAAGAAAGCACTCAAAATTTGAGTTAAGTGTTTCACTCAAGAAAAATGAATGCATGAAAACAAAATCGAACCCCATAAACTTGCTCTTCATATCACATCTCCATAGAAAAACCATACAACACCAAAGATCTAAAGGTCTTAAGAAGTTGTATAATAAATTTGTTACAAGATTCCTTGGACAAAATATTGGCTATAAGAAATTTTTTAGCGTCAATTCAATTGTAGATTCCCTTTGGTTGACAGAATGATTGCAATTACAGTTGATTGTAAATGCATGAGTTTTTGATATGGTGTTCCTTTTGTATACTTTCGTTTCCTTGAATAAATTTATTTTATGAGAAGAAAAAAAAATCTAATTTCTTTTGTAAATGCATGACCCTTTTTGGTTGAGACACACAATTTTGTGTGCATGTGTGTGTGCATTGTCCATGTCAGTATAAACAAAAGATGTGATAGAAAAGTCATCCAGACCCAATGGTTACATGATTAATCCCTTCAATCAATCATGGTGCTGCTATTTTATATAACTTGGAACAATGCATGCCTCCTGCACTAATTGAAATCTGCCCTGTGAAGACAACTTGTTCAAATTTTTCCAGCTCTTCCGGATTTTGAGTGGCTTTCTTCTGTACTAGGACGTGAAGCTTTAATTCACTGATGATGTGCACATTGATGTGGATTTGAGGGAAAAGTCACTTGGATAATTGTCAAATAAATGGACATGATTTTCTAATTTTTTATGGAGACAACATAGGCTAAGTACCTGGGGTGTTGAACTTGAATGGGATATCTATTCTCTTTTAAAATTTCAGAATTTAAACCTTTTAATTGTGTCACCATATTTTGATCTTGAAATGATAATTTTTGAGCTCCTTGAAAATCGTTATTGGGAGAAGTCTCTTCAGCAGCTTCCAGTGATGAAGACTAGGCTAAATTTCTGGAATGCAATGAGCATGAAACTGGTGTGCAGTCATTTTCAGGAAGATGTGGTCCTGCAATAGCTTGCCAAGAAAATATATCTAATTCTCAAGCAGGCCAGGGGATTGAAATTACTCTGTTATCCACATCTTCTCTTAGGAGCTCTGAGTGTGTTAGTGATGCTGGCTTGGTTCTCAGGGAATTTTTTGAGCCAGGAGCCACAGCTGGCTCACTATTTGGACAATATCAGTCATTTGACCAAAAGTCATCTTTTTACCTTCTTAATGGAGCTATACCACCAATAGAAAATGGAGAGCATTTTGCTTTTTCCTACAGGGGACTCTGGTTTTCAGCAAATAATTTGAATCACATCTCAAATTTGTGGCATTCCATACACATCAAGAACTTATGGAGCTGAGACTTCCTATGACTTGGGAATATCTGCACAAGAAGAAAATGGAAACATGGAAAACCATCCAGTTGGGGAGGAAGATTTGGGTCTGAGCCAGAAAGAAGAAATGGAAAATGTCACATGTTTAACAGATGGCCTTGTTTATGCTCTAGGCAATCCGGATGCTTCCATTATTGAAGGTTCTCAAGACCATGATAAGGTGCACGATGGCAATAAAAGTGGAGGTTCTGAAGACCATGATAAGGTGCATTATAACAATGGATATGGAAGTTCTCAAGACCCTGATAAGGTACATGAGGGCAATGGAAAGGGAAGTTCTCAAGAGCATGATAAGGTGCATGATGGCAATGGAAATGGAGGTTCTTGAGACCCTGATAAGGTGCATGATGGCAATGAAAATTGAGGTTCTCAAGACCATGATGAGGTTCATAATGGCGATGAAAATGAAGGTTCTCGAGATTGTGATAAGGTGCCCGATGGGAATGAAAATGAAGGTTCTCGAGATCGTGTTAAGGTGCATGATGACAATGAAAATGGAGCTCCACTGTCTTCCTGCCAAGAAAATCCCGATATACCATCAAGACTCTAATATGGTAGACAACAGGACAGTCTCATGTGATGATGTGCAGATGTTCGATGATGATCGGATGCCTGAGCCTCAAGAGCAACCGAGACTGCAAAAAGGCTGCGGCTTACACCACCACTTGAGGGGAAAAATATGTCATATATGATGCCTGCTTGAGGATTGAAATTTGTGAGGCCCTACATGCTCTTTTTTGCATTTCACTGGGTGTTTGTGTATAAGTATTTTGATAGGCCCAAAAAAAAGAAGGTATATTGACAGGAATTCTGTGAATAGCGTCCGGTATGTATAGGCCATATGAGGTATGTGGATGTATTGATAGAAGAATAGTTTAGATACTAGGCGCTTAACTTATATGTCAGGGAGTTTATTAGTAAAAAAAGGAGCATTTCTAAAGCAGAAAAAAAAAAAAAAGGTCTTAAGAATGGTTGTAATGTGACTTAGGTGAAGGGTTAAATAAATGAAAGGATAGGGATGCAACAAAATTCCTAGAAAATTACTAATAGAGCATAACATGGGAGATTATAGATTTTGATGAATAGAACTTTGAGCACTTTAATTTGAAATTCACGGCACACTTTGTTCTTGTGCATAATTTGGCCCAATTTTTTTGGCTCTTTTACTTCACTTTATTCATCTCAACTGCCAAACTTATTCTTTTGACACACTTTGGGTTAGACTTCTTTTTTTTTTTTTTTTTTTTTTACTTCACTTTTTATTTATTTATTATACTTTTCATCTTCAAGCTAAGCAACTATCTTTGCACCTTGAATCTCTTTAAAAGAATCAACTATACTAGTTCTCTATAAAAGTGTAAGGATACGTGTTTAATAGGGGAATAAGGTATGAAAATTGGGTTGAGAAAAAAAAAACTTATTAAAAGGCTCAAAGGGCTAACTAGGGATGAATAACACATAAGGGTTGGCTAGAAAGGCTCAAACGAATCAAACATGGCCTAAATCACTTCCTTAGGATTGTATGGTTATTGAAATGTCTCAATGGATATTAGAGCAAGTTCTAGTGAATGATAATGCAATCATGAAAAGAAATATAACTCTTAATGAAGAATATGCATGGAGCTCAAAAACTCATACGGGTTATTGTGATGCCCCCGATCCAATTTAATCATTTTATTCAATTTGATTTAATTTATTTAAATTGTGAAATTACGAATTTGCCCTTGGAGTAGGGTCACATTAGTCACTTTTTGATTAGTAAGGATTTTTGAGATTTGAGTGGCACCATTGTATAGAGCTCATTGATACGAATTCGTAGACATGTAGTAGGCCCAAATCGGAGTTTTAACGAAGAAGTTGTGGTCAACGAAAGTATAGTGGCACAATCGTAATTTTTTCAATGTTGGATTTTTAAACACCCGGTCAGCTCTTCCCCCACGCATCTTCTCTCTCCTTTCTCTCTCCTCCCCCAACAGTCTCTTTCTCCTCCGTGCACAGCCGCCAGTACACAGCCCACCCAATTTCTCCGGCCAAAACTACCATTGATGTCGGCCGCTTTTCCGGCCACCTCCGGTCACGCCACCACTTGGATTAGGTAGATCTCTCATTCCTCTTGCTTTCCCCTAGGTTGAGCGACACCATTGGTGGCTGCCACTGTCGTTTTGAAGCCGGGAAGTTCCGGTCAAACCCGTATGGTTTCTGCTTCGATTCGGCTAGCTCTGACCACTTTTTGGCCGTGTTCCAAGAACCAAAAATGCTCCCCTTGTGAGTCTAAATGTTTTGGTATAGGTAATGTTGGGTGGCTTGAGAAATTTCCTGCAACGTGTGCCGACGCGTGTGGTGGCTCGTGGGCCATTGTGTTTTGTTTTGTTCCCCATGACTTTTCGAGCACGACAGTATGCTCAGATTCGAATTTGGTTATCATTTTACAGTCGAACGGATTTACGTCTATTAGGCGATATCTGGGTTTGATATGTTCGGACCGTTGGATTGGCTCCATTTCCAAGTATGTTGTTCTATGTACCTCTAGGATCATGTAGGAACTCACAAATCGAGAATCGGAGTCCCGCATAATCCGAATCAATGATTCTAGGGGTAGGTAAATCGATGACCCTTCGATCGAAAGCAATCCGACCGCTCGATCGAGACCAAACTTGCAGAACATGTTTAATAGACCTTTTTGAACCCGTAGGAACTTTTGGATCGGAAATCGGAGGTTGTGGGCACTGCAGCCCTGGTTGACCAAGTTTGGGAAGTTTGACCACTCGGTTTTCCGAGAGTCTTTGAAGGTTATTCCACCTTTCAAAAACCATAATTGGACCTTAGAAACTCTCCGTTTGTCGTACACACACTTTGAGTCCTAGGAAAACTAGGAGTTTGTTTTAAAGTTCTCGTTCGAAGTGCTTTATTTAATCTAGTCCTCGTGTTCTTCAATAGGTACTCAGGCTCAGCATGCTCAGCAAGCAGGACCCTCTCAGGGTCAAGCAGCTTCGGACTTTCTATGAGTGGACTTTGTTTTGAATGAGCATTATTTTCAAAGATTAGATTACCATGCATTTAAATTGGACTGTTTTGACTATGGAGTTTATATATTGTTTTAATCATGGAATTAGCAGTTTTTTTGATATTTAAAGTTTATGATTATTTTGGGAATGGTTTACATGCTTCAAGAAGTTTTTATTTACCTTATGATTAAATAACTGGGCAAGTGGTTTATGAGAGTTGGGTACTTTGTTGATTGTTATGTGAGTTTCATATTTGCACCATGATCAGTACCCTCCCCTGATTACTTTACTCACATGTGGTGTTGGATTTTCCAACGTGTGGTAAAACAATCTGCCCACGTAGGACATGGTTTGGTTTGGTTTGGTTTAGTTGCACGTGGCATTGGATTTTCCAGCGTGTGTGCTGTCGAGTGGTAGTTGTTGTTAATATTATGTTAACTCGCAATTGTACGGGGCAATTAGTAGTATAGCAAGACAAGTACGAGGTCGTACCCACGAAGACTGAGAAGTTAAAACTAGTTATGTACTTAGATTACCAAATTCAAGAAAGTAGGAGGTTATGTCTAAAACAGAATTTAAAACAAGAGTGGTTGTGATTGTTGAACAAAAGAAGCAAAATGAAATTGCAAACAAAAACAAGTAAACAAATGTAACAAAGAGTGGTTTTAAGAGTTGGAAAACAGATTTTGAGACTAGGGCATTCGAATCACCATAACAATTCAATTCTGGGTTATAAAGATTCAAGTAACAAGTCTAATTCAGATTCAAAGATTGATTCTAGCTAAAGTATGATTAGGCCATGGTGTTTGGTCCTAACCTTGTGTTCCTAATTCCCTAATTTGATCATTAGTTGTCTAACCTAAAATTAAGCATTAGGAACACATTAAGCATAGAAGAACATTTTAAACAACCAAGTATGTATCTAATCCCTGTTGTCGAATGTCCATACATACTATTCCTATTCATAGTTCAATTCGAATTAAAGCATAGTGTATACTCTTAATTCAAACCAAGATAGTTAACAAACAAGTTCTAATCGTGATCAATCATTCAAACAAGCATGTTAACTTATAAGCATAATGAATAAGAACATGAATCATGAAACAAACTTGAAACTCCAAACTTATAAACCCAGAACATTCATGTTAGGTTACATCGAAGCCCTAGTTATGAATGCCATAAGAGTAGAAAAACCCTTTTCTGAAGTTCTTGGAGTGTCCAATTCTTCTCCAAGAGCTTCTCCACGTCTAGAAGGATGTATGAAGGATATGGAGGTGATTTGAGATGAGCTTGAGTGAGTGGTGATCGCTGAGAAAGAGGAAATTCGTAGGGAAATGGAAGGGAGGTTTTCTAGAGCTGTTTTGGTGATTTTGGGGCAGTTTAGAGTATTGGGTTGATTGCTTGAGTGTTTGGCGTTGTGGGAATGTATGAGGATGATTTCTGGATGACGGAAGTGTGGAGGATGGCTGAAGTGAATTTTGTAGCTTGAAGACTCCTCTATTTATAGGGCTAAGAGGGAGGAACATCATGATGAAATCCAACACCACCATTCCTCATTTAATACAACCCATAACTCACACTTCATCTTGTCTATGTAGTGTGGTTGGAATCAATCCCATCCCATACTTCTTTTGCTGCACCTCAAGCTTTCTTCACATGGGATCAAAGGTCATCAATTGTGGCTGCCTTTTGCTGCCAACCCATGTGGGTTTTCTTTTGGTTGCTGGAAATAAAAGATGCTGCTGAACCAGGCTTGGTGTATGAAGGCCTGAGATTTCAATATGTATGAAAT